AAATACAAAGATATAAAAAACTTTATATTTAAGTATATTATTACATTTATTCATTACATTTATTTTAATTTATATGAAAAATATTTAATTGCAGCTAATTGTATTGCAACCAAATAAGAATAATCAAAATAAGAATAATAAACGACCACTTTGAAAGCGATTCTATTATGAAGAATTTGTTACTAAAATCATTACATTTCATTCTTAAATATGGATTAAAAATGTGTCGATATTATCAAGAATTAAAAAAATTACTAAATAAATTTAGTGTAAAAGAACTTGCTATATGCATAACTTAGAGTTTTGTTTTTAACATTGATTATTATAATATCGATTATGAAATAATGTAATTTTAAAATTTATTATTTTATTTTAACAAAAAATAAATAAATCGTTACTTTCTAAATAACAGTAATGATAACACGTTACTTTTTGTAAGAAATAACAGTTCTCAATTCTGTACATAATTAAGCATTCCTTTGTAAAATATAAAATAAAATGTAGAAAGAGATTATACATGTGCACACATACACATATCCATACATACCATACATACATACATACCATATTTATATACAATAAAATCATGTCGCGTCAGTCCCATCATTTTACATTAATCACGTTGGTACGTACGTAGCAATGTATTCGCAATGTCTCTATCCCGCAGTTTCTCCACTTGTGTACGGATTCGCAGCATCAATCTATTCGAATACTTTAGATATATCGCCGAATGATGTACCGCAATCGCATAAGGAACAGAACACCAAATTTGCCTGATTATTTCGCGGACTAGCCTCGTGATGTACCTTTCCATGAGCGATGTATCCTCCTCCTCCTACAGATAGAGATATTTTTTCATCGGAAACACAAACTTCTCTATCTGAAGCTTCAAGTCGCAACGTGCCCGCGTGTTCCGACCACAGCAATTTCCGATAATGCGGATCATGTCTTTGTGTCATCGGTACTAGCAACATCATGGCGAAACCATCGTCACCGTACGAGCTCGAGCAGAAATGTTCGCACAGCGCCGTGAACAGATCGGTAAAAGAACTCAGCCCTGGCAACTCGATTCGGAAATTCAATCGCCCGTAGTATGTCTTCAGTAGATTCGAGAAAATATTCAGTAGCAGCACGGACACATCGTTGTTCAAATAGGCGGTATCGCAAAGGTACACCAATATTAATCTACTGAATCTTAAAGTAGGCGATAGCCTATCCATTAGATCGGGCAAAATCAGTGCTAGACTCAGCACCGTTAAGATACTATTTTTATCTTCCGGCTGTAACTTAACATCATTTTTGCATTTTGTATATATGTGAACTAGCGGCAGGAAAAGCCAGTCCTTCGGCATCGCTGCCTGGTCCCAGTCGCCGTTTGGTGTGATGTATCTCTCATAAAGCAAGCAGGCGAATTGCAAACCTATTTGAATCTGATCCACCGTGGATGCTAGATTTATTTTTGTCAATTCATTAGTGATAATTTCCAAGTTCACTTTCTCGCTCGATAACGCGATTTGAAGAAGATTTCTCACGTGGTCCGTAGCATCCGCAGGTAATGTCGAGATAAGCTTAATGGTGATTCTCCACACAATTTGCGCCGTCTGATTATTGATTGTATCTCCAAGAAGAGACGCCGCTTTTACTACCGCTGTCAAAAGATATAACTCCGTTCTACTATACCACGATCTTTCCAAATTCCACTCGGTTGTTTCCAGATCATGTAAGTATTTGCGGAAGAACGAATGTTCGAATATTGTACGAATTTCTGACACACAAAAATTATTGTAAAATGTATTCAATACTGTTGCCAAGAAGGGAATGCATGAATCCACCGACACGATCGGCTGCACTTTTCCATTCTCCATGAGAACGTTCAAGTTTGGAAGGCAGGATGGTTCTCGATCTATAGCCGAATTGCAATCACTCAACAAGTTCGAGTTGAAACTGCAAATAAATGTAATAAATATAACTCATCATTTTTATATATACATTTTGAAATAAAAAAAAAGAATAATCTTACCGAAGAGTAGAGAAAATTTGTTGATTAGCTAACCACATTGTTTTAAACGTAGACATGTCATTAACGGCGGATAAACATTTTGTAATTAATTTCATAACGCCCCACTGGAATTTATAATTAATATTTCATACACTTTTTTGAATTTAATTAAGAAATATTAAAATAATAATATTTTTCATTATTAAGAATACAAGATATAAACTTAACACTTTTCAACATTTTTTTCCATGCAATTATCTCTTACAAGTCTATGATAAACTAATAATAAATAAATGAATAATACTGTTTAATATTAAGAAGATATAGAAAAAATAGATATAGTCTTAATATATTTAAGATTATTTTTTAAGCACTTATTTCTCGAATTTTTAAAAAATCCTTGATAAATTGATAATAAACAGACGGATAATAATTGCTTACCTTAGCGTTAGATATCGATGAAAATTGTGTACTCCACTTTAATAGCAACGTAGAAATATCCTGTTTTAACATTTTTTCGTGGCTTGCTATCGCAATCCACGCTGCAGCGTGTTCGCACGCCAATTCGGATGGCATATTTTGAATATTATGATTATCCAATAATCGCTGAAATTGCGATTTGATAGTTAATATAGCAGCTGTGACACTATCCAGCTCTACTTCATAATGCAACAACATCTGCCAGAGTCGCAGGCTCTCAATGTTAAAATTTATGTCGTCATTCCTGAAGTATACATTACACATTTATATACGTAAAATTATTATATATATATATATATATATATATATATATATTATATATAGATATATATATATATTTATATACG